TACCCATCCTTGTTGCTCCAGAGGAAACTGAGGAGGTTTGCCAGCACGGGAAGGATGGTGCTGTCCCAGGAAGTGGCTTCATGACTGTTGTGTATGACCTCTGCAGTGTGGTGGTGCATTCAGGCATCTCCTCCGAGAGTGGCCACTACTACTGCTACTCCAGGGAGTGCACTGACACCATCCCCCATGGGCAGCCCCAGGATGGGGTGCCAAAACCAGCCTCTGACAAACAGCTGGACTTGGAAATCCAGTGGTACCTCTTCAATGACACCAGAGTTTCCTTCTCCTCCTTCGAATCGGTCAGCAACGTCACCTCGTTCTTCCCCAAGGACACTGCCTATGTCCTGTTCTACCGGCAGCGGCCGGAGCGGCAGAGCTGCCTGCTGCACGAGGCTCTGGCTGAGGCCGGCCGCCTGCATGGAGAACCGTCCCTCCATAAGGACCTGATGGAAGCCATTTCCAAAGATAACATCCTCTTCTTGCAGGTAACTCCCGCTGCTGTGCACAGCAGGGTGTGGTCCTGCAGCTGTCCGACTCATGTGCCACATTCCCACAAATCCAGGCAGCAGCGGGATCCTGTCCTGTGGTTAAAATCCTGCAGATATCCACCCACTCCCTGAAGAGAAATCACTTTTAATTTTTGGCCCCCAGATACAAACAGGTTATGCATTCCTGGTGAAACTGGGCATTGCCATTGGTGCCAGACTTGTGGCTGTGCTTGGGGTTGATTTGCTATTGTCTGCTCCTGAAAGTTGAGCCCAAAATTTTCTTTGAAATGCCTGGGAAAGAGAGGATGATGGAATAGCTTGGATTGGAAGGGGCCTTTAAAGGCTATCTAGTCCACCTCCCCTGCAGGCTGAGCAGGGACATCTTCAACTCAGATGCTTAGAGCCCTCCCCCCATGTGGGCTGATCTTGAAGGTTCCCAGGGTGGAGCATCTTCTGCCTCTCTGGGAAATCTGTGCCAGTGCCTCACCACCTTCATTGTAAAATACTTGTTCCTTTTGTTCTACTCCTTCCTCTCCTTCCCACCTTCACTCACTGGTAACTAGCTGTTCCTTCCTACCACCTCTGACATTCACCTGAACCATTGCAAGCAAAGTCTTCTGTTTTTAACTTTTTCTCTTCTTATCATAGAATCATAGAATAGTTTGGGTTGGAAGGGACTTACAGACCATCCAGTTCCAACCCCTCTGCCATGGGCAAGGACCCCTTCTGCTAGACCTAGGTGCTCAAATCCCCATCCAACCTGGCCTTGAACACTTCCAGGGATGGGACATCCACAGCTTGCCTGGGCAGATGGGTGAGCTGGGAATACAAAGTAGAACAGATTCCATTCAGCTGATGGAGCTCAATGCTTTCCAAACAACAGTGTCTCATATGACATGACCTGCATGTGGAGCGATTTGGGGGGCCCCTCCTCTCTCGCAGGTGACACAGGAGGGCTGGGTGTGATCACTGAAGAGCTGCAATGTTCTGCTGCATCCCTCCTGAGCTCTAGAGCACATGGCCGTCACACCCCACTTTAATTTGAAGGGAGCTCCCAGGGGATACCTTACAGGCTCTCGGCTCCTCAGGGATGGTGGGAGCACCCCCCACTTGAGTCTTTTATCTGCTGATATCCTTGTGCTATTTTCCCCCCTTCCTTCTCCCAGGAGCAGGAAAAAGAAGCGAGGAACAGAGCCGCCTATATTTCTGCCTTGCCCAAGTCCCCGCTGTGGTGGAGAGACTTGGACAGGGACAAGGATGATGACAGCTCCTCGGGGGGCTGCAGCCCAGCAGCGGGCGGGGGCGGATCCGGCTCCTTCCACGGACTCGTCTTCTAGCCCACAGCTTGAGCCACATGGGGCCAGCCCAAAACCAGAAGCTCCTCTTCCTCACCCTGATAACAGTGAGCATCTCGGAGGAGGATTTGAGAAACATTTCAATGGAAAAGGTCTCAGGGGCTGATTTGGAGGCGCCTGGAGGGTCTCGCTGCTTCCTATGCACTTGGTCTTCATGCCTTAATGTACCTAAGCTAACGCAGAAATGAGCAGCTGCCAACAGCTCGGAGAAGTGCCCTTTTGCTTCATCATAGCCATGTCTTGCCTGCTGTGAGCCATGCCACCAGCCTGGGGAGGTGACAGGGACAGGCGTGGGGAGGAAGACAGACCCAGCAGGGCCCCAAGGATGGAGATGTCCCATGCACACCCTGTCTGCAGCCCTTCCCATGGCACTCAGTTGGTTCTGGGGTGACCTCTGCTCAGTTGTTATATTTCTTTTTAATGTGGTTTGGGAACCCCCCATGAAAAACCCCGAAGGTAGAAAAAAGTCTGGAAAATGCCAAAATGTAGCAGTGCTGGTCTGTGAGGCGGTGAGCTTGTAAGACAATCAGTGTCAGGTCAACCAGAGGGAGTTTATGCTTTTTTATTGCTTTGTTTATTGCAAGACACCCAAAAGAGACTGAGGGGCACAAACCCCTCCAGCCAAGAGAGACTGACCTGATGCATTTGGGGTTTCTGGGCTTCAGTGAAGACCCATTGTGTTACTGATGACTTCTGGATGCTTTTAGTGTGCACAGCAGGCCAAGACACACAGCTGTTTTTCCAGATGTGTCCTTAGGACCCCATTAGTCTCTTTCTGCTGCTGTCATTTGATGGCTTTCTGGGATGATCTGCCCTTTAAAATTTGGGTTTTCCCTTGGGATACCCTGAACTGAGCAGCAGATGACAGAGCCCCCCTAAACTCGTGATCTATTTTTTTTTTAATGCTGATTTGCAAGGTGAGTAGCCCAACCAGATATGTTATAGCAATCCAATATCAATATATACTGTGTAAACCAATGTATTATATAAATCAGTAATGGAACGGGGGCTGATTTTGATGGCAGATGGCCAGCTCAAGCCCCAGGCAGCACATCTGCAGGACCACAGCTCCCGCCCATGTCCCTCCCCAGCTGTTTTCTCCTGCCTGCTCCTCCCTCACACCTGTAGTAGAGATTTCTCTGGCTCAAGTGGCAGAGTCTTGTGCCTTAGGTCCTAAGTGCAAGGCCTAATCCTGACCATGGCGTATTGGGGTAGGAGTATTGTGCTTTTGTGGAGGAAAAGGCAAAGCACAGACATTGCTATGGATAACGTGAGCAGAAAGTCTGCTAGAGAGGACACTTGGGGTCAAATATCTGGTGTAGACTATCATATTCTTTTACTGTCTTTCCTATATATAAATAAAGAAAATTAATTTAACATACAGACTTATTGTCTTGTTGCAGTATTGATTGATATGGGGCTGATGGGTCAAAAAAAGAGATGGGGAAGCTGAGGCATCCATCCTCAAGGACAGGGGACAGTCCTGCAGTGTGGTGGCTTGGAAGAGGGGATCAGACAGAGGTGGAATGGGAACCTTAGTGTAGAGCTGTGTGCCCTCTAGAAGAACATCACAATACTAATAGTGGAGCCTTGTAGATGAGCAGTGGAGTGTGTTTGTTGTTTTTAAGTCAGGTGCTGAGAGGAAATAAATGAAGACCCAAAGCTGATGTGTCACAGAATCTACAGTGTTTCCTGGTTTTATTACTAGTCTTCTATTTATTTCCTGTTCAAAGAGGTTGCCAAAAGTTTTCCTGTTGCTGTCATGCTAGCTCCTTTCTTTACTCTGGAATATCACCTGAAGACATTTTCTGTGCTGTTTGCCTGAAGGTGGTTTTGTAGGAGACTGTCTTTAACTTGATGAGATCGTAATCTAAGTAATGAAGGCAGACAGTGAAACCAACATGGAAAATGTTGGATAGGCTGTATCATAGCTAAGCTGTTTCCTGAGCATGTCTTGTTTTTTTCCCCAAGATTTTCTGGGATGAGCAGAGGCAAACAGCATGCAGTTCTCAGCATGGATGGCAGCCTGGAGAGTGACAGTGGTATAATGAAGTTGACCAGTTTAGCCCCTCTTGATTTCCTCTAATTATTAGCACTGGACTTCCCTTTTGGACTCAGCAAATACTCCTATGTCTGATGAAGATATTAAATAGTATTGGTTCCAGTACACACCTTTGAGGAACACTGCTCATTGCTGGTTTGAACACAGCCATTGACTGTAGCTCTTCCAATGTGGCCATCCAGCCAATTCCTTGTTCAACCAATGGTCCACTCATCCATCAGCTGAGAATGTTATAAGGGACTATGTTAAAGGCCTTACAGAAGTCTAGTATAGTATGAGTATGGTGCATTACTATCTGTGCTACACCAATTATAGTATGTGCTATATTGGTACTAGTGTTAGTAATGCCAGTCATGTTTGCATATGGCATATTGATAAATATCTGCTATGGTATATGAGATAGTCTGGCTTGTTTTGTCTGTCACAGGTGCCTCTGCTCAAGGAGAACCCACAGAGGAGTCCCCAGCTCTTGGTGTGTGCTGCAGATGTGAAATGATGCTACTCTTGTCTAAAAGAGCTGTTACAGGAGCTGTGCTTAGGGAGGTGTCTTTTCTCAGTTGTCTTTTTTTTTTTTTTTTTTTTTTTTTTTTTAAGGGAAGTCTTAAAGGTAGAATTGAACTTTTAACTCTGGAGAAAAATATTTGTCCTTTTGCTGAGGTTCTCTGGGTTATTTGATGTCCTGAGCTGAGGATCATAGGTGCTAAGCTGCTGATGGGTGAGGAAGGCAGCATTTGTCCTCACACTGCACACGGCAGAGCAGATATATGGTATGAAATTCAATTTAGCAGCTTAAAAACACATGGCTTGGGTTCTGGTATCAGGAAAAACCCTAGCTACATCCTAAAGGCCCTCCTTACCCATACAGGACACCTGAAGCTGTAGGAGACACTTGGCAACATGCTGAGAAGATGCTCTGAAAGCTTTAAAGGTGCTACATAATCAAACTTGATCTGCTTATTAGTTTCCCCCTTTTCCCCCTGCTCTGAATCCATACTGGGAATCACAAGGAAGAGATATCTTTTTATTATCATTCTTTTATTTTCCTGTTGCTTTTCTGTTTCATATACAGTACTTAAAAATGAGATCACCTTCACGTCAGGCATGTACCATGTTTATTAACAGCAAAAAAAGTATTATCTAGGCTTCACTCAAGACCGATTTACAGGATAAATAATTGCTTCAAATTACTTTAAAAAAAACCAACCAAACAACAACCCCCCATAGAATAAATTAATAACTTAAGTGATTAGCTGTCCACAGTGATTTGAAAACTTAATAACCATTCAAACAGTGACACCACAAGAAGACACATACTGTACAGTTTGCCACAGATTACTCTTGTCCTTCCTTCTACAAATGGAAATCAAAAAATTAAAAATACTCCTCTTTAAGAACAGTCATAGGCTTTGAAACACACAAAACATCCCTGCGAATCGGCTGCTGATGCAACAGCTTCACAGCCAGGGCTCCAACCCCTCCTCGCAGCAGGTTAAGAAACAAATGGAGAAAACTACCCTAATCAGACTGGGTCTGTTCCCACACAATGATGCCCAAAGTTCCCACACAATGACGGCAAACTCACGCTGACTTTGCCAAGGGCTGGGATGAGTGGGGTACAACTACTCTAAAGGTTTGGTCCTAACCCTATGGGATTCATCGACAGGCTCCCCGTGGAGCCCAGGGTCCTGCTCCCTTCCCCTCTCTGCAGCGTGGCTCAGCCACCACGTCCATACTGCTCTCAAAAACCCGTGGTATTTCCAGGGTAAATGTGGCAGCAGAACACTGAAAACTGTGCAAATGACATTTCCCCCACCCCCTCACTCAGAAGAAAATCCTGCCAAGTTTTTTTTCACCTTGGTAGTTAAGGATGAAGGGGTTTTTAATGAGTTTTGCAGAGCGGGATGTGTTGGTGTCGTGCATGATGCTGGGTATGACAATAGGTTAGCACCACCTGCTGCCAAGCCATTGCCTGCAGACTCAAAACATCTCTTTGCATTATTAGATGTCAATTAATTACACCTCATGACACATCTGTGAGGTGGGGAAATAAGTACTAAAAACCTTCATTTTACAAGCCGGAGAAAAAGCAGGATACAGAGTTCACATGAACCCTCTCGTCCCACATGAGGATACAGTGTGGTGTCACCCAGAGAATGACAATAAAAATGTTGGTTTCTTATCTCCTGGTTTGGGGGCAAACCTCTCCCATATGGTCAACCCACTGGCCCACTAATGAACCCATTATATGTTAGCAATGGGCTGCATCAAAAATTAAGAGCCTGCTGATTGGGAGCAATCCTGTTGAGAAGCTTTTTCAGCTAAAGAGATGGAGCCATGCGCCCCAGCTTCTGTTTCAGATATTACTGGCTGGTGTTAGAACTTGAACACCACGTGCCAGGACCAGCTGGCCGTGGGCTGGAAGGGGACAGCTGTATTGTGACACCTTGCTACATATCAACTTTTCTCAAGAGAAGACACTAAACCAGCAACCTGATCAACAGTACAACACTAGGAGTCATGAACAAGGAGATAAAATTGTGACTACAAGGATGAGACACCAAGGACAGGCTGATAGAGGGATGAACTGCTCCAGACCAAGGAGGAATCGTGAACAAAAAGTGCACATCTTGACCTGCAAGAGCCTCATTAACAGCTCCAAGATCATTATGTACATGTGGGAAGGCTGGGCAGAGAAGAGAGGCACTCAGACTCATCAGAGGCCCTAAATTGGCTTATTGGCCCTTGTGATTTGATGCTGGACTGGTCCTTCTCATTTTTTTGATGGTTCTTTGACCGCCATGTGTGTTCTCTGGCTGGTGCCAAAGTTAGGCTTTGCTCTTCCCCCTTCCTGTAGAACTTGGGCTTCTTCATATCCACAGCTCTGCTGCATCCATCTCACCTAGACAGCATCCCTCCAATGGCACACGCACTGTGGGTGTCAGCTTTTACATGGAATGGAACTTTTACATCACCAGGTGGGAAAACACCAACACAATGCAAGCACAACTTGAGAAAACCACCCTTTTACTTGCCTCCTGGGCCAGAAAGTTCCGACAGCACCTGGGAACTATTTTAGCAACTTCCATAAGACCTGGACGTGGCGGTACCCCCATTTCTGGTGTGGAGGTGGCATGGGTTTGCTGAGAGGTCTGGACCTAGCCTGACAAATTTACAGGTTCAAGCTGTCTCACAGTTGCTAGAACTGCCTGTCCATGTCCTGGATGACTTGTTCTGGGCCAGTCAGCCCTTTCCCAGGTGCAAGGGATGGCCCAGTGTGGATTAGGTCTTCTCACTGGGGAGTATGGCCTTAGGGGTTGAGCTGTGTGCCTTGCCACTTGGCTTCATGGCCAGAGAAGCGGCCCTGTACCTGTTTTGGATGTTACAGGGCTCCAAGCAACCCCCTGGGCCCCCTCCCTCACATGGAGGAGTCTCCACTCAACCCCAGAAGCACAGGGTCTCAGTGTGGAAGAGATGCTTCAAGCAGGGTCAGCTATGGGGTTCACCTAGACTGATCTTGAAAAACTTCAGGGATGAAGATGGCACATCCAGGGACAACCCTGTGAAACCATGGCACTGCTGCCCCAGGAAATGCTCATGGGACCCTCAGCAAGGTGTCTCTCAGGATGTCCTGGTCCCCACACATTTCTTGTAGGGTTTCTCCTGCCCAGCTCAGAGCTGGGTGAATGGCCCAAGCATTCCTGAACGCCAGAGCACAGGCATCACGTTGTCAGGCAGGATGACCCCTTGAGAGTGAAGTGCCCGAGAGTGGTGGAAGCTCCTGTCCCACCAGCTTCTACTGAGCATTCCACAACCCACAAATCTCTGCACATCTGACCCAAAAACACAGGCCAAAGGAGCACACAGTGAGGACCAAGACCCAAACCTTACTGGCAAACTCCTCTGCCTTCTCTCGTCCCAACCTCATGTTCTCTCATATCTCACCCTTGCCAGTGGCTGGTGGCCCAGAGTTCAAATCCATTCCAGTTAGCTCCTAGACAAGCCAAGCCTTTCCTATCTTTTGGTTCTGATTCTGCATTTGGCCCTCTTTGCCAGACTCTCAGCTTTGCCCTGGCACTCTCTGCGCTCACACATTATTCTCTTTCGCCAGCTTGAGACTAAGCCTAAGCCTGGCATCTATTTAGAGCTGGAAATGTATTTCCCACTGAACACTCAAATGCCAGTTCAGAGCAAATCAGCTCCAAGGCAGCTCACACATCTCACCAGGCAGAGGAATGATGAGCAGCATTTGCATACTCACAGCAAGGGATACACACTCTTGGAGACTTTTGCCTTTAAAACCACCTGCTTAGTCATTTTCAAGCTTGGGGAAAGCTTTGAGCCACGGACCCACTGCTTCATAAAACTAAATATTGAGGTCATGGTGCTTGTCCCACAGACAACCCTTCTCCATGAGCACACACACATGCAAGCACTTTTCTAAATCAAACCACAGAGCTGTAGAGCAGGCTCTGACGTGAAGGCTCAAGCCAGTTTAATTTCAATTAAAATGAATAATTTGCAATGTTCTCAGTTTCCTTAAATACCTATTTCTAACAAAGGAGCCTGTCATACTTAAGAATCCAAGTATAAAGTGGATGTGATAAACTCAATGCCTTCAGGACAAAGTTCTTGGCAGTCTGTGTAATTAAAGCAGCTGCTTTTCAATATGGTTTAAGACTAAATACTGCACAAACATTAATCACCAGGGACTGCTGTAATCAGCTTGGCAATCGTCATGGGTGACTATTTCCACTGAAGCCATTGATTACTTAATGCTTTCAGGAGGGGTTGATACAGTCGTGTCTATATGGCACAGAGTCTGTGGCCCTCTGCTTAGTTTGGTGGTGCTGTTTGCTTGGTGCTTTGCAGGGAAAAGGTAGAGGAATGTATCTTTTTCAGTGAAAACACAGACTTCACTGCAAAGCAGAGAGGGGCCAGCAACCAGCAGTTGTTAAGTAGCTGCTTTTGGGCCATTTTGGTCCTTGGTCTGCCAAATGCAATGAACCAGTTACTAGGGATGCTCATGAGAGGAAATTATCAAAACACAGGGTCTGAGCCTGGGAAAAGAGCTATCCCATGCCAGTGGTTGCCCCATGAACAAAGACATTTGTGAAACATGGAGAAAAAGGTCTAGTTTCTCCAGTACCACAAAAGGCTTTTCCAGTCCTAATTAACCCCTTGGATTAAACGTGGGAGTGGGCACTGGATGCACCTAGTCCCAGTGCAGAAGCGCAGGGCACCCACTCAGCAACTCGCACTCAAACCCCATGTGTTCTCTCTCGAGCCACTAAAGCTAACAGCTTTGAAGAAGAAATGGGAAAAAATCAGCTTCCCAGAAGAGTGACATTCTTTTTGGTGGGGATGGGGAGCTCTCTCCCAGATGGGTGAATGCACACTTCAGTGGGCTCTGGATCAGACCCAATGTTTAGTCTCCCCTGAGATGCAGAGATGAAGGGGTCAATAGAAATACGAAGTACTGCATTCTAGTCTTCATTTTGTCAACTCACCAGGCAAGTGTGCAAGCCTCCAGCAGGAGGCAATGGCCCTTGCAGGGTGTAACACCCCCCCTGACCTTTAGAAAGCATCTGACTCTGCTAAATCTTCCCCTTTGGGGCTTTGAGGTTTTTTCCCTTCTATTAATTATAATTATTAACATAAACATTAGGGTGTTTGTTTCCTTGTTTCTATAAAAGTCCAACACTTCAACATCTCAACAGGGTTATCAGAGCTTTTCATTAGCATCCTTCCCTTTCATGGCATGCGAGAAGAAAACACAAAAAGGTGTTGAAAGTTCAAGACTTATTTTACCAGCACACAGCACACACAGCCCTTAAGGGACTGGAATCCTATCCCCATGTGGGTCACGTCTGGCCCTTTCCAAGCTCAGACCAAGATTAAGGAAATGTGTTAATGCTTAAGCATTAATAATCAATACAACTTGGTGGTGTTGGTGGAACATAGAGCCCACGGTGCTGGGAGGGGTTCAGCTCACAGAAAGAATAGCTCCAGCTCTTTAATAAATATTATTACCTAATCTTTCTGATGTCTCCTTCATTTGGCTCTTGGTTTGCGGTCAGCCTGTTTATTCGTGTCAGCGCTTGCTGTCTGGCAATCAGGCTGCTCCATGGCAATCATTAGTCCTTCCTGTTTTCATGAGATCATGAATTATTATCTCTGCATTAAACTGTCTCGTCCTTCTCTTCTCTCTGTGCTCAGCAGCTGTCTGAGGAATGATCCCAAAGCCTGGATGTGTTAAGGATGCTGGCAAGGGACAACAGCAGACTCCCACCCATAATTAGAGCCTAGGGCCATTAATGTCAGCAAGCCCCAGTGTTGTGTTGAAGAAACATTGCTGAAGATGAGGGGAAAATAGTTCAGCCTTTTGCACCCTCCACAAACCAACCACAATGCTACGTTAAAGCTCCTACTGAAACGCCCTGCCCTGACTCTCCTGACCAACCTCTTCCCAAGCCTATGACCTCACCATCAACCAACATCTCAATTACCCTTCTTTTTTTCTTCCAAGAAACATTCCACCGAACCTCCTCACCCAGGACCAATCTCTGCAGTACACCACTGGCCTTCTCCCAGTCCTCACAGCAGCCTCCCACTCCCTTCTTGCCACTCATCCTTATGCCAGTCCACACACACAGGGTCTTCAGAGCCTCCCTGCCCCCTCAAACTCAACCACAGGGCTTCTCACAATGTCCATGATGTAGGACTCTCACTTTATGGGCTTCTTCTGGTGCCTCAAAAGGCAAACTGTGGTTTTTAGGGTCAGATTCACAGGAATTGGTTTCGGATAGGCAGTGGGTCAGTGCTTAGATTCTACCTTGCAAAGCCAATCCCTCCAGCCCCTTCCAAAACCAATTTCTCCAGCCCGTTCACTCTGAGAGTTAATGGAGAATACAAACAGAAGAACCCAAACAAACTCATGAGAGCATATGCTGACATGTATGTGTGTGTATGATGGGGCAAGTCCTGGAGTCCTAAGTCAGCTCAATGGGATGGTGGGGATGGTGTGTCAAGCTCCTGAAGGTTAACAACCCCAACCAAAACCTTGGGGGCTGTCCAACCGAGAGCAGAACAGCCCTCAGAGGTTTTGAACATATTATTTACAAGAGACAGGACAACAAAAGTGATTTCAAAAGGAATGGTCCTTGCTCAGTTTCGGGACTGGGAGGAGGCAGAGAAGAGGACAACCATAAGGAGTGGAGAATCAGAGCTGGGCAATGATATCCTTTGGGAGATGCTGCAAACCTGCGTGGCATGGTTTAGGGTACGATATGGAAGAAGACGGGGAGAGATGATGCAGTGTTAGAACATACAAGGTGGCTTTAATAGCTGTAAGGAAAAGATGAGTAGGGTGAAACCTGGTATTGCTAAGTCAAAGTTCCTGGACAGTGCATCCAGCAGCTAAAGCACAAACCTAGCCACCAAACATAGTTGGTCTTTATCACTGGCAAACAGTATCCGCCAAGTCTTCCCCTGAAATTAAGTTTTGTTTTGTTTTAAGAGAAAAAAACAAACCAATGACACCCCCTCCCCTCCACAGAGAAGTCTTAGAAATCCAGCCCAAGTGGGTCTGGTACCCCAGCAGCTGGGGAAAACCAACAGGACATTTTCCTGTTTTGCTGCCTGCTGCGGGTACTACTGCTTCATGCTCTTGGCAGGCTCCGAGGACTGCCGCACATCAGTCCACTCCTGCATGGTGCTCTGCAGCGCCTGTGTCTTCTCCTTGTCCACTTGCACGTAATCAACCTTCTCATCTGAGGCGACTGACGATGTGGAGGGCTGTGGGGAGCAGAAACAGGGCACCGTCTGGTCACTCATCAGCTCTCTGCTCTTCCCTCTCACTCCTTCCTGCAGCAGGTGCCACAAGCCCACCAGCACCATTCCTGCTTTCTTGAAGACTTCACAGCTCATCACCCTCCCTCGAACCTCCCAAAGACACATGGATGAAGGATTTCAACCTGCTCTGCCTCTTGCTGGCATGAGACTGCAGTGCAGTGAGAGGGTAGAAACAGCACATGGATCTCTACCTTCTCACAAACTTTGGGACATGAATGTTTGGTTGTAATTGTGTTCTGTAACTGCTGACTTTTTGAGTTCAGTCTTGCATCTTGTTCATTTTGCTGTAAAGAACTCCAGAACTCTTAAGAGATACACATAAAAATACCAGCTCTATACCTTTCAGCTGTGCTGACTCTACCCACCTATGGCACTAGCTCATTTTCATTCCCAAAACAATAGATATGTTTGCAGGGTCTCCCAAGAGATGTGTTGAGAACAAGGAGATACTTTTTAGCATAACTCCTGGAGTCCTGAAGCTTTTTCTGACTTTACAAGCATTTCACAGGACCTCCATCTGCTTGTAACTGGAGCCAGATCATGCTTTTCAGTGGTCTAAAATAATTTTCCAGAATGGGATATAATTTAAATGGGTGATACTTGCAGAAATATTGCTGGGCAGAAATAAACCATCAAGGGACAACTGTCAAATAATAAAAGGACCTAACCAGTGGGATGCTTTGCCTGGGAAACAAGGTGGTGTTTGAGGAAGTGAGGCCAACTCACAAATGGTTGCCATGAATGTTTATACAACCCTAGTCCTTCACCTCTCAGGTGCAAAATCCAAGTCTGGTCTTGGAGGAGCTGTTGTTTTGAAGGAGGAAAAAACCAATTCTGATACTTCTTGGGATACCTCCTGACAGCTTTTCAATGTATAGTCTCCAGCTGAGTTTGTGGTCTCATCAGCATCCCTGAACCCTGCACATCCACGCTTCTGCTTTGCACTGCCAGCAAAGCTGCAGACATGCAAGAGAGACTGAGTTTGACCTAGAGCAAATATAGCAGTGGGTCACAGAATAGTCTGGGTTGGAAGGGACCTTAAAGATCATTTCATTTCAACCATGCCATGGGCAGAAACACCTTCCACTAGACCAGGTTGCTCTAAGACCCATCCAACCAGGCCTTGAAGACTTCCAGGGATGTGGCAACCAAAGCTTCTTTGGGCAGTCTGTTAAGTGCCTCACTACCCACACAGTACAGAATTTCTTTCTAATATCTAATCTAAACCCACTCTCTGACAGCTGGAAACCATTACCCCTTTAGTGTCACTGTATACCCTTGTCAAAAGTCCCTCTCCACCTCTCTTGTAGCCCCTGTAGGCAGTGGAAAATGGTTCAAGGTCTCCTTGGAGCCTTTTCTCCTCCAGGTTGAACAATCCCACCTGTCTCAGCCTGCCTCCATCGTACAGGTGCTCCAGCCTTCTGAGCATCAGAGATTCCCGAGACCACAGTCTGGGCTTTGTATGTACCATGCTGTTGCCAATGTGCACAGAACTCCTTAAAAATGCATCACTTTTAATCAGAAGTTTATAAAATCCCCCATACCTTCCTGTGTGGCCCTGGTGAGCTTGGCTGGAAGTCCAGGGCCAGGTAATCCACACTCCCCGAACTCTTTTTAGGCGCTGGGCTGTTGGTACCACTAGGAACAGGAGAAGCAGAAATGGGGTTTTGCTAATGCAGGAAAGAGACAGGAGAGATAATGAGGATTAAAGTGGGAAGGAAGAAAGAAAAAAGGAAATTAACACAAATCCAGAAATGAAACATGTTGGAGGCACCTTTAAAAGAGCCTGGTTATTTGCTCACCTGCCTCTGGGACAAGCATATGCAAGAACTGCTGGGATACTATAAATGCTGTATATTGTGCTAACAAATATTTCAAACTCATGCTCTTGATTTCATGTATCAGAGCAGCTCTGCCTTTGTGCTGATTTTACTCACATGCCTGACAGCAGACGTGGGCTTCAGCATGTCCCTAGAACCACACCTCAGCAAGGCCAGGCCAGCTCTGGGATCTTTGCTAATCACAACCATGCTGCACAGAGCACAGATTTCCTCTATCCCATTAGTTACATAGCCTCAAAAATATGCTTCAAGTCAGTAGCTTCACCAAAACAGACAAAATCCCCTCCCTGTAAGCAGTGCCACTCCCTGCTTCTGCTCAGATAGCCCCTGCTCCCACAGAAACATGATGTCAGCAGCTATTAGGGGAAAAAAACTGAAAAAAATCAACCTTAGTTAGGAAAATACACCCTGACAGTCTGTATAAATTTTTAAATCCCTCTTAATTCCTGGCAAAGTGGGTGATACATGTTTCTGCTCTCATACACATTTAAAACTGCAATGAGACATGCTGTTTTCAGAAGGAAACACCCTGTTTTGTGCACTGAGGGATGCACATAAGGATGTACTCCACATTGTGCTATCTGACAACTTCCCTGTCACGAGCTAGGAATGCATCTGCAGAGCTGGGGAGATTGAATGTCCTGCCAGAACCATCTATCTTAGCTGTGGGCCCTTACCATGGCCACGTAGTTCTCCTCACTCTCTCCCGAGTCAGTGCTGGTGATGCTCTGGGAGGAGACAGGGCGACAGTACTGCAGAGAGCCGGCGTTGAAGGTCTGCCTGCAGGGACAGGGGGAAGGTGTTACTGAGGGCTGTGGGTCCTGCTTGTCCTTTGCCATGGAGGTGGGAGAGGGCAGCTCCTGATGCCTGCAACCATCACCGTGACCCAGCCTGGGCATGAGGAAGAGCTGGTGGCATTGAGGTTCTCCAGCCTGCCCCTTCCATCGGTTGGAAATCCTTGGGTTTGGTCTTCTCAATTTTTTCTTACTAGAATTTTTTAGTAACCCCTTGCTTTCTATGTACCTATAACTCTCCTGCTCTCATCTACACATATGAGATTCCACTAACTCCTTCATCTCTCAGGAAACATTTAATTGTGGAGGATGGAGGGGCAGCCTTGGTGAAGCCTCTCACCTCCAGCTCCACCACAACAACAGGATTTGTTAACCGTACAGGCCCTATCCAAATTTTTTGCAGGAAAACAAATCCTCTGAGGAATTGTCTTTCTTTCAATTGGCCAAATCTAATTATACTGAACAAAATAATGAAATCAGCTTCTGGCATTAAAGCACGTGTCTCAAAAAGCTATTTGTTGCCTTTCAGTAAAGCAGGGTCATATGATTAGCTGATAGGGGAAAAATCCATTAGCTTCTCCAGGGTCAGACCTCTTGTCAATCAAACCCTGCTTGCTGCTTCCCAGCGCAGTGATTTCAGCACACAGCGTTCATGCCCTGCAGTCAGTCTCCACACAATCCAATTTATTAGAGGAGTCATAGCAGCCAAGCTTTGCTTCTGCCTTTTACTGGTCAACATCAAACCGTGAATTAGTAGCAGAGCTGGAATTGTGCGAATCCTGTTATTTTTGGCTGGCAGACATAGCTCTGAAGTGCTTTGGTTTAATTTTGCAGACTTCCTTCAGGCTAAGCTTTGCTTTCAAGGCAATCAAAACACGGCTTGGTCAGACCCTGAGAGTCACCCTGTGCTTTTAGATGACAGTGGGGTTTGGGGGGGAATAGCTTGGATGTGAAATCATGCCCCCCACACAGCATGGCTGAGTTGGTCTGGCTCAGCTGAATCATGAATCGTGGCAGACCACAGGTCCCAGATCAGAGCCATGGCTCTCCAGCAGTTGTCAGATCCCAGAAACAGGAAATGTCTTCAAGGGATCTTAATTATCTTGTTAGCCACATGCTGGGCTTTCATGTGAAATCCCAACCTAAATGAATTTACCTTCCTGCCACCAGCTGTGATGTGGGCAATGTTTAATCCATGGCAGAGGTGACAGCATGGCTACCCGTGAATGTCAGTAAGAATGAGACCAGAGTGCTGCTGTTGGAGCAAAGCAAGAAATCATCCCCCAGCCATTACTCACGTTGGCCTGGACCAGGATTTTGTGACTGGCGATTTGAAGGGAAGCTCATCAATGACAGCGTTGTTCCTCAGGTCCAGCGGTGATGGCTTTGCTGGGGAGGGGAAAAGCCTTTATTCAGAGACAGCATGTTCCTACAATTCAGCATCCATGACTGGCATGAAAGTGCCCCCAACAGATGGTTGATTACTTCCCATTCTACTAATCAGCTCCTCAGCCCTCCCTGCTGATGACAAATACTCCAAACCAAAACCCCTGTGCTGATTTATGCCAGAACTGTGGGAAAACAGTGAATTTCTCCCCCTGCTTCACAGCCTCAAAGTGGATGGGTAGTCCCAAAAGGGGGATGTGCCTTCTAGGGAATAGAGATCTGCTAAAAATGCCCAAACTCCAAAACCACTCATTAGATATCTGTGGTAACTAATGCATTTTATGGGAACAAGACCAGGCTCTGTCAGGCCTGAACTACCTCTGTGTGGAGTGTTTTCCCATAGGGAATGGAAAAGGACATCTGGAGGGTAGCAGATGAAAGCCCTTCTCATCATGGATGGTTCAAAAGGTGGAAGAGTTCTATGCTCCAACCCCAGCCCTTGAATGGAGTGTCCATGAGGTTAGGTGTTGACATCCTAGGGATGGGAGCCCTCCTCCTCAGGATCTCCTTGGCCACCGGTCAGACAACGGATTAGGGAGAGATTTGTAGAATGTCGGCAGAGCCCTGAAGGAAGAACTGCCTGGAACTAGCCAGTAGAAAACTGTAGGAAAAACTTGTAACATCTGAATACAACACTGAGATTTTGGGGTGGAGCACAGGGAGGGGTGCAGGCCAAGGGAGTGAAATCCTGCTTGTGAAATGCATCTGTAAAGGCCTGGAAGGGTTTGAGATGGAGTGTTCAAGAACCATGAAAGCTACATTTACACTACAGAGCTTCTGAAAGAGGAAGGGGATGGGGGACAACTGAAGGTCTGACTGTGCTGGCAGTAGCAAAGCACACCTCACGTGGGACTGGACACAACTTCACAGATGTAGTCTGAAGTATTAAAAAAACAGAAGGACTTCTGGGAAGGTTTGTGCACAGCCAAAGGTTCTTACCTTTCCGGTCGGGTTTGAGGTTGCGGTTGACTGGCGGGGGCTGGATTTCACTCAGCCGCCGGTGGCACTGAGCCACGGCTCCTCCTTTATGCACGGGAAGGGTGGCCGAGGACAAGCCCACCAGGTCAAAGTGATGCGGCCCAGGGCTCATGGGAATGTAGAGACTTTGGGCATTGTCGTTGGCTTTCTCGGCGTGGATTAGGGGCGAGGAACCGGGGTTCATGGGGACGTAGTTGTCCTCGGAGTCGGTGCTGTGGGAGCGGGCCACCACTGCCTTGGCCTGCTGGGGGAGGATCAGGCACTGTGAGCATCAGGCACTGCTCAACCCCATCCACTACAAACCCTTCATTTCATCATAACCAAACAACATCTGAGGGGACACTCACTCTAAAATCTAAGCACAAAGGGAAGGAATGATCTGTCCCCTCCTTGGACATCAGTTTGCACTGAGAGGGTCTACCTCCTTTGTTTCCAAGACATTGCAACATCCTGAGTTTTCAGAAAGGTCTTTATCACCCAGAGCTGAGCATCTTCTCATGATCAGAGTGAGCTGGAGAAGCATGCTTAACCTGGAAAGTCTTTCTTCCCTAGGCTGTGTCTGTGACTAAAACGGAATATGAAAGGTTGCTTTAATGTCATTTCCAGTTCAGGAAATCTTAGAAAGTGCACACAAAAGAGGCTGTTCTGGCTACATGTCAAAATTTAGCTCAGCGGCATCCCAAGCTTTCAGGAAGAAAGCAAACTCTTGGGTAGTTTTTTTTGGGCCAAAGCTGCAGGCAGATACACTGTGTGTAAGCAAAGCTCTGCACATCATGCTGGGTTAGATGGTTGCCACCCCATCTGTTCTCTGCAGGTCACCATGGTTTAAACAGAAACCATTAACAGACCCTTCTTGACTTAGCTCTGCAGGACTGGCTGTGAGGGCCAGCTTGGAACCAACCTGTCTCTGAATCTGTAAGGGGCAAGTGGTGCCTGCAGTGTGGTGGCCACACCAAGGCCAACTCACCAGGTAGGAGTGGTATCCATCGTTCATGGACTCCACTGACTGCACAGCGCTGCCGCCCCCGTGCTGGGGGTACTCGTACGTCTCACAGGAAGAAGCTGCAACACAACCACAAATTCGTGTGTCCCACTACAGCTGATAACAAAAAGGGGTCATTGAAAACAAAATCCAGGCACTGGTAGGGCAGTATCTGTTCTTGTTGATTGAGATGCTGATGAGAAGATGTGGTCTTTAGCTTGCCACAGGCTCTCTGCCATGCTCCTTTCCAATTAGCATCTCTTTGATGCACCAGCACAACTGCACGTGCCATGCAGACCTAACCCTGTTCTGCTGAAGTGCTGCAAAATCCCAGGGGTAAAGGTGTTAGATAAGGCAGATCATGGTGACAAAACTGGGTTAAGGGGAAGCTCTGTTAGAGCTTGCTCAGTAAATGTAGAGGCTGGCAGCCTCCAGGAAGGGGAGGATGGGTGCTAAGCTCCTAGACCAGTCTGTTTACTGATGAGCATGAATCTGATCTCAGCCCAAGGGTGGGCATTTAGGTAGCAGGAGATGGAAGAAGCATTTCAGAGAGCTGTCTGTATAATTTACACTGCATTTTCTCTCCAGCCACCTTTTCTAAGTTACTTTGCAACTATCTCATCCTAGGCACGAGGTTTGGAAAGGGCACGCACACCTACAGCACACCCATGGCCAATGGCAATTGTGGCTCTGCTGCACTTAGGGTTGCTGGATTTTGGAGACATGCAAAACCAAGGTTTTGCTCACCCACCTTTGTGAGCAAAACCAAGGCATACTTCCAAGCTGAAGTATGTTCTGATAAACCTGGATATGAGTTAAAGTAAAGGTAAGCTAAAAATTGCCGAAATCACAAAAATCTGGCAAAGGGCTGCATAAGCAAGCTCATTTGGGGTTTTGGTTTAAGGTACAACACAGCCAAGAGCCAGCTGAGCAGCTCTGGTGGGCAGAACACTGTGTATGCCTCTCCATGCCTTCTGAATACAAAAACCAGGGCCAGATCCTGGCTGAGCAGAGTTTCTCTGTGTTCTGGTTGATGCCATGTGCACCCCAGCCCTACCACAACCCAGTGGGACAGATCCACCCAAGGCTGCTGAATAGCCCAAAGCCACCCCCAAGTCCCCACCTCCAAATTCACCTCGGTGCAGTCTGCTGTTCTCCACTGCTGGCAGCGTGTTTCTCCGGGGAATGGTGGCTGCCATGGGGGTGAGACCTAGATTTTCACCAGGCTGGGGCCGCTGGGGTGGACTGCCCCAGCGTGGCTCTGTCTGCCCAGGCTTCGGGGGCCGTGGGGGTGGCGCAGCGGGCGAGTCGCTGGCGGCCACAGCCAGAGCGTTGTGGTTCTTGTCCAGTGTAAATGTCCTGGGGATCTGGTAGATGGAGAGTGGGGTGGCAGGGATGTCATAGGAGTCCGTGGAGAGCTCCCCAAACTCCTTGCATAGGGTGTTGTTGGGAGTCTTGTAGGTGTAGACCTCCTCATTATCAGTTTCGGAGCTGGTGAGGCTCGACTTGGGGTGGGTGTAGGAGCCAAAGGAGCGCGGGAGGTCGTAGGCACTGTCCCTGAACTCCGAGTTGTGCCGGCTGGGTTTTGGCAGGCTGTAAAAGCCATGGAGCTGCCCGCCAACGCCGTTCATGCAGTGCCCGTTGCCCTGCGAGAGCTTCTGCACCGCCGAGTCGCTCCGCATGAAGAAGGCAGACCTGGTGGCTTGGGAGAAGCTGGCACTCCTGCAGAGGGAGAGGAGAAAGGGGCTGGAATGGGGGGAGAGCTGGTTCTGGGAGCACTGCTCCCTCTGTACATCACCTTACTGGCCTGCCCTGCCCAGCTCCAGAGCAATGAGAACACCTCAGACCCCTCCAAACACGCCCACAAGCCACTTGATCCTGAAACACCATCAAAATGACCCTGTCATAGGCGAGAGGTACATGCACTCAGCTCCATGACAGAGCTATAAGCAAGAACGAGCCTTTTGTCCAGACATAAATTGATCCAAAAGGGCAATTTTCACACCAGCTGACAACATCCCAGGGCACAGCTGCCAAGTGTCAATCTGCCAGCATTGCCATCATGCCTTGACTGCCCATCTGCAGTTCAGGAGGGAGATTTCATCTCACCTCTACCTTGCAAATGTGCAAAGGCCTGAAAAAATTCCTGATGGGGATTATTTCAAGGTCTCCAGCCATGTCATCATCCTGCCCTGTTGCAGAACAAGCACTGGGGAGGTAATAGAAGTCCCCGGCTGGGATCTGCAGTTTGCAGTCCTGATGTGCACAGGGGGAGGAATGAACCTTCAGATTTGTAAAAACCCTGGAGTTGTTCAGGGTCAGCAGGGCAGTGTGGTCACCAGATCCATGCCTTGGTAATGATTCCTCGATTGATGTGTGGTCATGCCTGGGGACTCATCAGAACAGGGGCCTAGAACAGAGATCTCAGGCCTCTAACAACTCCTGGTGAGCCACTGCTGCTCTGCTGATTCCCCTCAGGGTACTTTATCTCCTGTTTTATCCCTGCTTTATGCCTCACATGGGTCAAGCTTTTGGGGACCACACTCTCCCAGTCAGAAAGGGCTCAGCCAGCCCCATGTAAACACTCCCCCACATGAGAAAGTTCTGCCCTGTATCAATCACTGTGGTGAGAAAAAGTGAAATGGTTATGGAGAGTTTCCAGTTGTGGCAAATCACTGGGAAAGTGCCAGTCCTTTGGGAAAAGCTGGGAGATGCTGGTTTACACTGCTCTGGTGTGGTTGATGCTCTGCAGGGACAACAGGGACTCTGTTTCCTGGAGCCAGCACGAGATGGCGCTCAGAAATAGAGTTTATTTAGAGGAAAAAGCAAGTGATGCTCTGATAAGATAAATGAATCCCTGCCACCTTTGGACCTCAGCCCACCCAGAAGTGGTTTGGGTTCTGTCAGGGTATTTTTGGTTGACACTTGAAACATCTCATGGGTTAATTATTCTGCATTGCTTGCCAATTAGCTACTATTACCCTCATTTTATGGATGAGTAAAGTAAGAGTTCCAGAGCAGAAAGGGGAGGGATTCCCAGCAGTCCTGCAGCCTGACTCCATGCACTGGGCATTGATCAGGGCATTATTTCTGGCCCAGTTGCAGAAGTTACCACTGGCCAGGTTTGTTTCTGCTCACCAAAGCATTGGTGCCTGCGCCCTTCTCCTCCAGGTCCCAGCCCCGTTCAGGTTCCCAGAGAGTGGCTTTTAGGCATCCTCACAGCTGGAGCGTGAGAGGACCATTTTTTTAAACCACTGTTCCATAAACTCTATCTGAAGTTAATTTTTCTGAGCCTTTTTCCGTTGTTGTTTTCTGAGTAGGGAAAGTCAGCTGCAGCAGGAAAGCCCAGTGGATGCAGCCCGAGCTCTGCACTCACTCACGCCAGCTGGGATCCGACTGTCTCTCCCTCCCTCCTTGCCTGCTCCTGCGAGCCAAAACTCTCCACATCAAAAAAACTCCTCGCTATTTAAGGCAACCGGCTGGGTCTGGAGGCAGGGACTGTCGCTGGCTCAGGAATCCCACACTGTGCACCACCAGCTGCCACCAAAGCCAGCGAGCTCTGCAAGGGGTGAACGGCAGGGTGGTGCAAACCCTGCCCATCCCTTTGTTTGTCCTTTTTCTGGTTATTTCTGGAATTAGGGCCCTGCCTGCAGGATCACAAAGTGGTTAAGGCTGGAAGGGACCTGTAGAAATTATCTGGTCTAAACCCTTCCTCAAGGAGGGCTGTGGCAGGACTGTGCCAGACAGCTTCTGAATATCTTCAAGAATGGAGACTCCTAAACTTCTCTGGGCTACGTGTGCTAGTGTTCAGTCACACTCACAGTGAAAAAATGCTCCCTGATGTTCAGATGGGATCTCCTGTGTTTAAGTTTGTGCCCATGGCCTCGGGTCCCTGGCACTGGGCATCACTGACAAGAGCCTGGCTCCATCCCCTTTGCACCATCCCTACAGGGGAGATACCCCTGAGACTTCTCTTGTGCCAGCTGAAACAGTTCAGCTCTCTCAGCCTTTCCATTTAAGAAAGATGCTCCAGGCCCCTCAGCAATTTCATGCCCCTTTGAACTGGACCCAGTATTGACCCCAGGGTACTGCTAGGGACTGGCCTCCAACTAGACTTCATGCCACTGATCCCCACCCTCTGGGTCTGGCCTTTCAGCCAGCTTTTAACACCACCTGAAAAGCCAGGAAAGCTGGGAGCTTGTGAGGTCACCACTCTGACCTCCTCCCAACCATGATGAGATGAGACCATCATTCAGGACTTTCTCCAGATGGGTTTTGCAGACCTCCAAGGATGGAGGTGGGTTGAGCCCCTCACATCCAGCCCTCCCCTCAGCTGTCCCCGAGCAGGTGGGCCACAATACCTTGCATTTTCTGACTTTCTGCTCATGCACTGGTGCAGGAAAAGGTAGTCCTGGGGAGCACTGGCAGACAGGGTGCTCTGGAGGTGGCTGGCAGGCGAGTCGAAGGTGAACAGGGTGGGCTGGCTGGAGTGGGACGGCGCTGAGGACTTGCGCTCCCGCAGCAGGTGGTGGCTGGCGCCGCTGAGCTCGGCCGGGGAGGAGCGCGGGCCGTGGTTCATGGAGGCGATGCTCCTCAGGGTGTCTGTGCAGGGAGCAAGCACACCTGTGAGTGTCAGACACTGCTACCCCACATCCCGCCTTCCCAGGCTTTCCTTTCATAAATGCTCTGGCATTATGGAGGTCACTGTGGTTTGCTCACGGCTCCAAGGGATCCTCTCAGCTTCTCTACTCAGAGCACATGCAACTACAGGTACCATGTATGGAAATAAATATGTATTATATTTTATCACAAAGCACATTTCCTAATTTTATAATACTTTGTCACATGCTTAGTGGCTTGCTGGGATGTCTGCAGGATGTCAGCCTATTTCATGGGGAGCTCAGTGGGTTGTTAAAACCTAATTTAAAAGAGAGGAGCTTTCATACCGCAGTGAGATGTGATTTAAGTCACCTCCATCACTCTGTGTAAGGGCATCACTGCTATCCCTTTACACTTGGGTTAACTGAGGAATAGGGTGGGAATCTAGATGGACATAACGACAGCGAAGATGAAAAATATTCTCATGTTTCCAAATTCTGTATTGATTTTGTAATCTCAAGAGAGTTGCTGCTGTTTTCTGTGAATTTAAAGGGATGCAGACCCAAGACATGACTCTTAGTGCCCACTCCCCCTGCTCAAGGAGAAACAGACTTTAAAATATTAAATCAATTTAAATGGAGAGTATCCCAGAGGTCAGGAATAATCACTCCAGCCCTCTCGTAAGTGTGCTTCATTAATTCAAACCACAGATGAATTTTTACAGCCAAGCTGTAAATCCCCATAAAATAAAAAAAACCAACCAAACAAAACCAAAACCAAAAAAGCCAAAACAAAACTAAAACACCCAGGAAACCCACAAGCTGCAGAATATTTTGGAAATGCTGATCCATCTCTGGTTGCAGAAGACCACAGACACAGAAGACCATCCATGCACTCCTGACTTGTGAAAACCACTCACTGTGGTTTGCAGAAGTCACACTTCATATAGTAAGTGTGATTTACATTTATTTGGTGCTGATAAAAAACACAGAAAAAAACCAAACCCCAACAAAAAGGGGAAATCCACACATTTTCTAGCCACAACTAATTTGGGAATGGATCTCAGGTTTCCCTGACATGATATTCACCAGCTCTTCAAATTTGACTTCAGGCACCCATGCTCCAACACAAGGATGAGTGACTTGTTATACATTACCAACCTCTTTTTTTCCATTCCTTCCCTCAAATTCCAGACCCTACCAGAAATTTTGCACCTGACTCCTTTATGCTACAGAGAAATGAGTTCTCTACAAAGTGGCTGTAGTGGCTCAGGCAAGGAGAAGCTCCACACAGGGTGATTTTTCACCAACTTGTGAATCATGTCAAGATACAAAATCAATCTGTCTGCTGCTCATTCACAGCTGCTACATTTTTTCCCTGGTGTTACTGCAAACTTCACCCAGTGCACAAAAAGTACATTAATAAAAGCCAAAGAGCCTGCCTTGACTGTGTTGTTTGGTTTGTGCTAAACACAGAAAGGATCGATATTTAACACTGACATTAATGGTGGGGGATGACAGCTTAAAACTCTGATTCTTGTCTTTTTTGCATGGGCATTAAAGATCCCCTGGGGCTCCTTCATGGGAGTAAATGGCCATCTCAGTGTCCCCAGACAAAACAGTGTCTTGACCCTCATTCTTATTAAATATTTATCCCATAGCAGTGCAGAATGATCCCCATTGGAAAAGGAGTCTTGAGAGCTATGAAAATTCCAAATTGAGTGCTTTGAGATCAACCAGGATGAGAGATCCCAAACCCACACTGCCATCAAAAACAGGGGTGCTGCACCCAAAGTGCCCCTCAGGAGCCCCATCTTGCCACCTCCTGAATCAGCACCAAAATTGCCCACGGCACTATGCTTTGGCCAAGCCTCTTTGGGCATGGTGAGCATGACAGGTTGGTGTTGTGCTCCCATCCCAGCATGAAGGTCACCTCTGGGGACAACTGTGAACTGCACGGCGTTGGGGTCCCTCCAATAGCTCAGAGCTGTCCTCTCACACTATCCCTGCAGGCTCTGCACTTGCCATTGCATCAAAATATCATGGCAAGGCAAAATACACGCAGGAGTTGGAAATAACACTGATTTATTTGTGCTAACACAGCCTGAGGGGAGAGATGGGGCAGCACAGAGGAGACAGTCCCCAGCAACACCCCAGGGCACAGCAACTTCCAATGGTAACACTTCAGGGAGCCCTGGCATTCTGCACTGCCAGGAGATCTTAATCTTTCCCCAAAAATCAGTCTAGTTTGGGGAAAGCGGAGAACACAGTGCAAAAGATGCACTCAGAAATTAGGATGAACTACTCCATGGTTACTCCAACCACGTAAATGAAAATGGGGGAGGAAGGGGGGCAGGAGGCAATGCCTGGTAAAAGCATGTCACTTCCCTGGGGAAAGCCGCTCTATTGGCATCCTCATCGATTTTCAAAATGAATTCCCAGCTTGCTTCCCACAGCGACCTGGCCACTGAGAGCATTAGTGGGAGCCAATTCAGGACTCACGTACTCCATTAGGTCTGTGAGATGAACTCTGCAATAGTAGGTGAGAGATGGATTGCTTTGCAGGGCTGGGAGGGTATTGCAAGGGCTGGGAAGATAAATCCTGTTGAAGGAGACTGCCAAGATTGGTCTGGATTTTTTATGTTGTGGGGTTTTTTGGCACCAGAATAAAGGACAGCTCATGTGTCCAGGTCACACGCTGACAGAGGGTCCTGCTGGAGGGCAGGAAAGGGGGCAAGAAAGGAAATGATGGTAGAAAAATAGTATTTGAAGACTAGCACAGGCCAATGGAAAAATCAAGACACCACATCAAGTTAAACACATGCAGATCCCCATGAGGGTAAGGCACAGAGGATGAATACGAGGCAGAGATCCCAAAGCCACTTTAACTTGCCATGCTGCAGCACCCAGCTGCCAAGCAATGAGGACAAACACTCCTTTCCCACATCCCTGCAGCGCTCTTAGAGAATCCATGGGATCCCATCTGGATGCCTCCAGGCAGCAGTCCCACCCGCATCATGACCAAAGATACTCAACTCGAGCTCTCCACAAGCCAAAAAGAATGATGATTCTCAATCCCTCATGGCCATCCACCTTGGGGCCATGGATAAACCCAGGCCTCTCCATCATTTAACAGCGTAGACGTAACCCTCTAATCCTTTGGCTTGATGTTGGGATCTTGAGTTTATGCTGAGGGAATGTATCAAGTACAGCCAAGGAGGGATAAGATCCTGTGCAGTTCCTACTGCCTCTCCCAGGGGGGACAGAGTTAAAGTTATGTAGTGGGGCCATGTGGGAAGTGTCATCTTAACCCCATGTTTCCTGGCCAGTTCTCCTCTGAGTTTGGGGAACTGAACTCTCACGGTCTGGAAAAGGCAGTGTTGGACGCCCACAAGTTAAAATCCAATGTCAGCAGCATGATTTACACAAGTACATCTTGCTGGGCCCAGGCTGCAGCTGTTGCACTGGTCCCTGCAAGAAGCCAGCAGCTCTGTGGGGACAAACCAGCACAGCCCTGCAATTCCCCATGACGCCAGTGGCCTTTGGCTGAGGGCTTGGAACTCACTAGTTCAGGTTGAGATATATCTTTTTGTCCATGTGTTACAGCAAAGTGAGGAAAAAAACTTGGAAATCTATCCTCAAAGTAAAAACCCACAACTGTGAGCACAGCCAGCAATGGGATGGACTAGGCTGAGAGCCAGGAATTTTTTTATGAATGTTTTCAATCCCCCAAAGCGGTAATTCCCTCCTTGTTGACAGTTCTGAATTCCCTTGCTCAGAGCACTCAACTACTGCTATGTGCACATAGCTTCACACAGTGTTCCTGGGCTTATCTGAACAAAATAATAACTCAGCCTCCTTTGGAAACTGTTGCTCTCAATGTCCTTTTCCACCGGAGCCACAACGTCATCCTTCCCTGCCTGAAGGCAGAGGCTGGGGCTGCAGCTCCCTGTATCTTCACATGATGCTGTGGATAAATTCCTGTGCTCCTGTTGATTGCAGCAAAGGTGCCAGGCTTGTGTGGCATCCCTAAATGGCACAAAATTCCCATGATCCCCAACACCAAACTGGCAAGGACTGGTCCAAGTGCTCCACAGATAAGAGCTCCTCAGATCTGCTCTGGCCACCAAGTGCCTTGGACCACACTGCTGATTTTGTGCCAGTAAAAACTTGTGGCAAATGAGACTTTCTTTATCAAGGGAATAGTAGAAATCTACTACAAATAATCCCCGGGATGGCACAGAGCAGATAATGCTCATGCACCATCGTCTTCCTCACCCTCTGGAGCAGTTCCATCATTTATCAGCAAAAAGAGGGGGAACATCATGGGAATCACATGGGAATTTCCCCGCACTCTCACTTTTGTTGCCAGCTCTCTCCTCATGCACAAATACTGAGAAATAATTAAAACAAGACAAACAACCCTACCAAAACAAGCCATGCACATGCTTCTCCTGGCAGGAAGAGAACAAACAACATGTCCAGTGGATGAGTCAACACATCACAGCGCTGCCAAGAGGCCCTGGGATGCCATGAGGATGAGCATGGCACCCGAGGAAGGTTTATTTGCTGAGCTTTCCCTATTGCCTCCAAGCTGGATGGCATTTGGAAAAGCTGTTGTCAGTCTGAGCATGCATTGGCAGATCACTAAAGGTTTTCTCCAGCAGGTTGGTGGGACACAGCATCCGATCTGGATAATTTCCCCTCTCCTTCAAAATGGAGAGCTGTGTGCATGGACACAAGCACCCCAATTCTTTTCACTGCCCAAATTTTGGGTGCCAATTAGGGACAGTTGAGCTGCCTAAAAGTGAGGACAGAGCACAGCTTCATCCCTGACTGCAGAAGAGCTGAAAAGCAGAGAGACAACAGTGACATAGGGCTTTTGAGCTTTTCCTTTCCAGTCTCTGATGCTCATTTCCACTTGCTTTGGTAAACTGGTCAGGACAGACTGGCCAAGGGAAAGGAGGAGCATCACCCCTTTACAGACAAGGACCTGCTGCACAG